CTAACTCTTGAATATTTGTTTGTCAAGGAATGTTTCTTGACAAGAGGATCTTATATGTTAAGAGGTCAGTGGGGGTCTTAAAGATCTTGAAAAAGATTTCAAGAACTTATCAAAAGTTAACCTTTTGTTTATTACTAACACACGACTTGAGGTTTATAACCTATCGTGTTGACATATTCTTGTTTCTGTGGCATTCCAGTTGAGTTGACTATGCATGTGAGTTCTATGAGTTCTTATTTAAATGCATAAAGGCAAAAAGCACCTTAATCAATGAAAGTTCATTGATCTGTATGGGTGAGCTGCTTAACTACTTGGAAGACATGGTAGGCCCTTGTGCTGCCAGATGGCAAGAAATAAATATTTAACAAGTTCAGTCCATATGAGTTTGGATTTGTCACAAACCTTGTAATAATGGTTATGACAAATTTACATGGATAGGAACGCATACACTATAAAATCTAAGTGATAAGGTTTCTCTCCATTTCATGAAAATGATTGTGAGGAAACGCTTTCACTAGGGAGATTTTAAGGAGATAGCGATTGTGTAAATTGCATTCTCAAAATTTGATTATGATTATGGCATCCCTCTTCATAGTTCGAATTGTGAGATTTGACAATTAGTCTGAACATTTGGGACTTATTGATATAAGTTCTGAAATAGTTTAGACACACATATGAGCTTTCTAATAAAAGGTGTATGAGCTTAGATAAAGTCTTATCGAAGCATCACATATCAAAATTATGAACTTTGGTAAGAAAGTCAATAAGTATTGATTTCTAGAAGTCCAGCTGTTTTCTGAGTACATGTCAAAGCTAGTGGGAGCATAAGTGTTATGTTGGTAAGGATATAATTATCATGTTAGTGGGAGCATGATTATTATGTTAAGTATTGCGAGTTAGCAATATTAATTATAGAAAACAAAAGTTTCAATTTGAAAAGTTACAAAGGTTGAAAAGTTGTTTTGCTATGATTAAGGGAGAGAAATTTATACTTCATTTTCAAATCTAAAAGCTTAGATCGAGAAATTTTAATCAAATTTAGTCGAAGGACATATATGAATGTTATGTTGAAAAGATTCAACATAAGGGAATTCTATATATAGCAATATTATAGCAAGAAACTGGTAAAGTATCATGTCTTTATGTAAGACATTATGAATCGTATCCCATACGCTTCGAGTATAGGATCAATTACATATGCAGTAATATTCGACCGTTTTGTCTATTCCAAATGTCTAGGGCATTAAGAGGGAATAAGGAACCAGAACTGGATATGACTAAAATAAGTTAAACAACTGTCAAGGAGGTCTAAGGTTCGCCAAAGATTGGTCACTTGTGGGCAGTTGGAAGTATAATGCTGGATGAACCATATCGACATTATTATGAATAGATAGGATTCTATTTAGAATGAGTTGTCATATGGCAAATATGGAAATGTTTCCATAATGGGAGTTGGATATTAAGAATCTATGTAGATTAGAAACTTTTATGCAATAAGGATGTTCAAAGGAATGTATTTTGAATTTGAGACTTCACATCTATGGAGTTGTCTTGTGACAATCTCTAAAAGAGCACTTTGTAATATAATTGCCAAAGTCTTGGTGACTTTGGTGTTATGTCATTACAAAAGGATCATTGCGTAAAATGTTAGAATCTAACATATTCTAATAGTGGCAAGAATTTGGTATTCTTACACTTGTGATAAGGATTGGAAATTGTGAAATGAGCATCATTGGAAATGTGTTCAATTGATCTATTTCACAAAGTAAGGACCGTAGGCAAACATAATGTGCATGCTTGGAGCATGGGATAACTATTGTTATAATTCAAGTAATAAGTTGATTAACCAAAACATTATACAATGAATAATGTGTAATCAATATGGTGATTAAATAATAAGTGTTTTATTTATACTCAAAGTGTTGAGGCCATATTGGATTCAATTATTATTGTGTTTCACTTCGTATGTTTTGACTTCCCGAATAATAAGATTATTCAAACATCCACAATCAATCATACTTTGGAAGTAGGTAATGAGGTAAGACTGTCATGAATCCGACTGTAGATTGTCTAAAGTGTTTAGACATAGCAAAAGTCTGATGCAGTGTTCATGAGGGCTTCTGAAATAAGATTTGAGTATTAGATTAAACCCACGCTCACGTGAATCACTTCATGGACTTTATCACGGGTGATTGTGAGATGATAATATCTTATATTCTTGAAACGGAGAGATATGAGTTGTTGTTTACAAGTCGGTTGCACATTGATAATGCGTAAACGCATCAGTAACTTGATGTTATAAAACCTATTGTTGTGTGTGATTTGATGAGTAAATAGTGCAAGCATATGAGTCGGCGTTTATCCGTTCCTTTTACCCAAAGTGGGATAAAAGCGATATTTATGGGCCCCTCGATTATTTAGTGATGACACCTAAAGCGCTTGGCCAAGCGTGGACTAGGTTGATGTGTTCAACTGAAGTCTATTGTCAGCTATCTTAAATCGGAAATCGGGAAACAGCACATAGACAGAGAGAATGATTATAATCCATGTATCATGTCTATAAGATATCTTGAGAATGGAGGAATATATGATCCCTTATCTAAAGGACGCGTTGCTGATAAGATCAGAGTTCGACAACGACTTTTGAAAGCTACGATTGCTAATCAGATTCTGAAGTCGTATGCAATAATAGTTATTAAACTTATCCAAGTAGGAGACTGTTGGATTAGGTGTCTAAGCCCATAACTATTTTTGGTATGTACTTGATTTGATTATGAGCATGGTTCTTTTGGGTTGCCTTCACTCATGCAACTTGATAGGATGACAAGAGGAGAGAGAGAGAGAGTACAATTTATTATGTGAATAATAAATTCGTACTCAAAATGGTTTTATTAATATATTACAAGATTAATATATTATTTGGAAATCATATTATTTAATTAGTATTGATCAGAAATTAGTTTGGAATTAATTTAGTGGTCAAAAGAGACTGATTAAATAATTGGGGGACTGTTATGCAAATCATTGATAGTTGCATAAATGGGCTGATTGACTCCATAGAGTGGAGTGGACGAAATTTATGGGGAAGCCCATAACATTTCGTCCATGGGCTCTAAGGAAGGAGTTCATGGGCTGCTTGTTGCCTAAGTTAGGTATTAGGGTTTCCACTTGAAAACCCTAGCATCCCACATAGCTATATAAAGACCCCTTTGCTAGTGGAATTCGCTCCTATGAGTTTCTAGGAAGCCCTGGCCGATTTCACCTCTCTCCTAAGTCATCTTCTTGCATTGAGTGTTTGTGACTCCATTAGAGGTGCACACTTGGGGCACTAGGCTTTCAGAAGTCAAGATCAAGAAGGATTAAACTTGTTATTGCTACATAACAAGAGAGGTAAAGATTCTAACCCTAATCATATGTGATTTTCGAAATATGTATGCTAGTTATAAGGTTATTGCTTTGGTATTCATAGTTGTATGTTCATATTAGAAAAACCTAGATCCAAAGCAATTAGGGTTGCATGTACACCATAAGAATGATGTTATGCCCATAACCCGACAAGGTTAGACCCTAATACCGGTCGATAGGGCCGAAGGGGTATGCCAGCACCCGAATAAGCTAGACAGTATATGACTTATATGTTTACGCACTAGGATTCTATGTGGTAGAATTCGGGGGTGAAATAGTCCCCGGTACCGATCGAAAGGACCGAAAGGGTAGGCCAACACCCTGATATGCTAGGCGAGGTACCGGTCGAAAGGACCGAAGGGGTAGGCCAGCACCCTGATATGCTAGGCGAGGTACCGGTCGACAGGACCGAAGGGGTAGGCCAACACCCTGATGTGCTAGGCAGTTACCGGTTGAAAGAGACCGAAGGGGTAGTCCAGTACCTGGATATGTTAGACATTATGCTTATTGTATGGTATGTGATATGATGGGGGAACTCACTAAACTGTGTGCTTACGGTTTTCAGTTTTTGTTTCAGGTCCTTCTTCTTCGAAGGGAAAGGAGCCGACACGGTAGCAATGCATCACACCCACGATTTTCCGCATATAAGATTCTTGAGATTTGTACTCTGACATTATTACTATCTTATGACATGCTTTTGAGATATATGATATATGGTTTTTATGAAACAAGATAACTTGATGTTTTCTATAATGTGTTTTATGAATTAAAAATGAAATTTTTGGTCTTGAATTTTGGGATGTTACATTTTACCTATAAAAATAATAATGACATACTGAAAATAGAAACAGGCTTCTTTGACTCTTAAAGCCGCCATCGATACCGCGTTTACCAACAACAACTTGAGTATGACTCAAGTGAGATTTTATGAATGATACTTTGATTTGCAAGTGAGAATGTTAAAACTGAAAATGTAATTATTCGTTTTTTCTTATTGAAATTGTGGGTTATTATTATTATTATTATTATTGTATATTACGTAATTTTATTTTTTGGATACCCTTTACATTGACCCTGGATCCGCCACTGATTCGAGAGATTGTAATGCAATTAATATGTAACCAAAAAATGTTTAATTACGACCTAAAATGAAGTACAAACAAAAAACCACATATTAGATAAAATATAGTGTAACTCTGATTTAAAAGAAATAAGTTATAACATTTGAAAGGATTTCACAAGTTACACGATATAACAGAAAAATAAAAAATATTTAGTAAATTTTGTCTTATATTTCCGATCCAAAAACCAAAACATGTAAAAAAAGTTGGGAATGTGTAAAACGATAACCGGTCCAAGAACATAAACCGGTACCAAATGTCGGTCCTGGATATATGTTAGTTAAATTTTTTTGTTAGCTTTTAAATTAGCGGGACCTATTTTTAAAAAAAAATATTATATATTATATTATATAAAATATATAAAAAAAAAAGGTGAAATTTTTTTTTCTTTAGGTGATCCAAAAGAAAGAAATTGTTATTGGAACAATACTTATAAACTGGGCCGAATTTTGTAATTTATTCTTTTCCGCCTCAGCTTTGGGCTAAATTATGTGAAATCGACTTAAGACATACCATTACCAGCTTCTCGTTTATAAACTTGTCCGGCAGCCAAAAACTTGAACTCCGATAATGGCGGGGGCTATAACAGACGATTATCAGAACCTATCTATGTTCTTCAAATCGGGGATTTACCGATTACAAGGTTCAAACGCCGTATTCATGGACCCAGTTCGCGTCCTTAACCTCTCATACAGTCATTTTAGGGTTTCTCCATCTTCTTACTACTCTCGTTTCTTCGAACCGATTCCCTCCGGCGAAGAGCATTCTAGGGTTTCCAAAAATCAAAGAAAACGGAAACGTAAACAGAAAAAACCTCTTGCGCTTAATGAAAGAGAACAAGCTGCTGAAGAACGCCATCAGGTAAACTTCTAAGTTTATTTAGATAATTAGCATAACAAAACTCACATATCATTGTATCGATTCATACGTCAATTTGGGCGCTTTATTATTCCAGAAGGCGAAACCTTTCTTGATGAAGGCGCACGAACTTTTGCTCGGAGCTAATGATCTTCTGCTAAATTTGGGGAAATTGAGAAGTGATGATGATTCTCCAACATCTGATTGTGAACAGTCGATGGTAGCAAGTGATGAACATTCGTTTGTTGAGCTTGGGAGTGTATGGCAAGCTCCATTGTTTGAAATTTCTCTGTATCCTCATAAGGATTACAAGCCAACACAAGGTACTTGTTATAATTTTCATCACTAATTTACAAAAGTTTTTTCTACTTACTGTAACGAGGAAGATGATGACTAATTTGCACATCACCTCAGATGAAAAAAGAAATACTCCGGCATTTGGGAGCTTGATTGCTAATATGGCAAACAGTGACATGGAAGCTGATTTTCTAAATCGCCAATACATTATACCCAAACAGAGTTCCTTCTACATGGTGCGCTTCCATTTCTTACTTTATTGTACTTGATTTATCGAATTTCTTGAATACTTCAAGTTAATAAGTTTGATTTACAATCTCTATATTTTTGCTTGATTCCCATGTGGAAGTCTGATCTGAAGCAGATTCATGGCCTAATCCCTGGTAAATGCAATAAATAGCAATGTACTTTCGATTATTTTTTTTTTATTATAAATATTTAATATTTTGCTTATTATTGAACATAGAAATTTGAATCTTTATTGCAGTTAAACGAGATTGTGGATACAATCTTATTGTTGTCGATCCACCTTGGGAAAATAGCAGTGCCTACCAAAAATTGAAGTAACGTTTCATAATTCATATTCATATTTTTTTATAAAGCATTCATATTCTTTTAAGAACATTCTCATTGATTTTAATTTTTAGGTACCCAACGTTGCCCAATCGATACTTTTTGTCTCTTCCTATTGAAAAACTTGCTCATAAAGATGGAGCCTTGGTAGCTTTGTGGGTAACAAATAAGGAGAAATTACGAGTATTTATTGAAAAAGATTTATTCCCTAAATGGGGGGTGAAGTATTTGGCAACTCATTATTGGTTAAAGGTAATTTTTTCTTTGATTATTATTATGGGATGAATAATAAAATAGTACATGACTATTACAGGTGAAAGCAGATGGTTCTTTAATTGGTGAATTGGATCTTTTTCATCATAGGCCATATGAATGTCTTGTCCTTGGTTACTGTTATCCAGAGGTGAAGAATCTCAATATATTTTATTTACCATTCTTGTATTAAATAAATAAAAAAATCATTACATTTTAGTCCCTTTTTTAAACTTTTGTGTGATATTTACAGGTTGAGGATTCGGATTATTTTTCAAAACTAAAATCCATTCCAGATGGTCAAGTGCTCATCAGTATCCCGGGAGATTACTCCAGGAAACCCCCGGTTGGAGGTATTTTATTATTTTATATAATCATTTATTTTGAATTCAAAATAAATTATGATTAATAAATAAATCCTTTTTATCCCTATCCAACGGTTGTTATTTAGAGATGCTACGCGAGTACGTACCTGGATCACACAACGCTCATTGCCTCGAACTCTTTGCTAGAGAAATGGTATCCGGATGGACATCTTGGGGAAACGAACCGCTTCGATTTCAAGATTCCAGATACTTTTCCAGTACAGACATAGCCACTACTGGACAAACTTTTTAGGGTTATTTTCAATGATGAGGATGTGAAAAAACATTCACGAGTCTCGTATCCTGTTTCATCTTTTTGGGTAAGATAAAAAGTTATAGTTTTTAACCCATTCATTACTTCACGTCATTTTTAGATTCCAATACACCAAACACAGTCGAATCTGTCTCTTGGACAAAAACTTGAAGTTTTAGTTTTTGTCCTATTCTCATCAATGAGAGTAGAATCTAACAAATGAAATTGCAATACAAATGAAATTGCAATGAATGAAGAGGAAAAATTAAAACAATTGAACATGAAAATTTAATGTTCACTTGTTTTAGCATTATTGTTGTGGGAAGTTGGTAAAATCTTTAACTATACATTTAATGAACATGAAAATTTAAAACACATGATATTTTCTTATGGAATTATTGTTCATTTTGCCTTTTTTCTTTTTCTTTTTTGTTTTTTATGATGTGCATAAATCAAGTTGCTATAAAATAATTCATCAAGAAAAAAATGAAATTGCAATGAAGAGGTGAAGCTTTCAAAGAGAGACACAATCATTCTTTTCATAAAAACCAAAACTAATTAATAATTAAATCTAATTTGCTATAATTTTTCTGCAGGGAAACCGCCGGAAGCTTGGTTTTCATGATATTCAATTCTGCCGGTATGCTATATACTCCGCCAGAGCCACCAGCGGCGCCACCCCCTTGTATGATTCAAACCCTTCAAGCTGCTGTTTAGCTTCCGCCAACAACTCCTCCGAGAACTGCCGTGATTTCTCAAGTCCCATTAGTTTCGGGTAAGTCATCTTGTCTACGAGTAAATCTTTTCCGGCGGTTTTCCCCAATTCCTCCGACGACTTGGTGACGTCTAATATGTCGTCAACCACCTGAAACAGTAATCCAATGCATCTTGCGAACTTTCTCAGTTTTTCTACTTGGGTGTCGCTTCCTCCACCTAATATTGCTCCCAATACGACGGCTGCTTCCAATAGCGCCGCCGTCTTGTGGATATGGATGAACTCAAGCTGGTCCAGTCCGACGTCCTTTGCACCTGTTGAAGCTATGTCCACCACTTGACCCGCGACCAACCCTTCAGTCCCAATCGACTTCGCCAGTTCTCCGACGGCGGCCAAAACGCGTTCAGGAGACGCGCCGACGGTGGCGCTTGCGATGTGTTGGAAAGCGAAGGCGAGGAGAGAGTCGCCGGCGAGGACCGCCACGTCTTCGCCGTAAACCTTGTGGTTTGTTGGTTTCCCCCGGCGAAAATCGTCGTTATCCATGCAAGGAAGGTCGTCGTGAATCAACGACATGGTGTGTATCATTTCAACAGCGCAGGCGGCGGGCATGGCGGTGGATTCGTCACCTCCGACGAGCTCGCAAGCGGCGATGCAGAGAATGGGCCTCACACGCTTCCCACCGGCGAGGAGAGAGTAACGCATAGCTTCATGGATTGTGGGTGGCGTTTTAATGGAAATGGATTCATCAAGCGCTCTGTTAACCCGAACAGCTTTCTCCCCCATGTACGCCTTGAAATTGAAGCAATCCGATGAGATTTCACCCAAAGTTTCCTGTTCTTCTCTGGTAATCACAGCAGAAACAGAGAAACTCGAAGAAGAAGAAGAAGAAACTCTGGATCTTGGATGAATTTTGAAATTGGGTTTACTGCATTTCATCGGCGTTTTGCAGATCAATCCGACGAATGACGATGACGAAGATCCGTTGAACATGGAACATGTTTGAACCCATGAATCGATGAAATTCAGAGATCTCATGTTTATCCAGAAATAGAAGAAGGAGAAGGAGATGAACTGTGTGCTTTTTGAAATGAGTCAAGTTGTTAGTGAAAATGGGTCCCTGAACATTCTAACAACAAATCAACATCTGCCAACCTAATCTCTTTGAGGTCATGGGGGATGAAGGGTGCAATCTGTAAATTCCACAGAAAAAAAGGATACCTCATCACATTCACACCAAAGATAAATGCCAAAATAAAATGCATATATTTTAATTAATTATTAAAAATCGATTTTTGGGGTAAATTTTATTCCATTTAAATATGTACTTTTTTTGATAAAAAAGGAATTATAAGTTTGATTAAACTTGATTAAAGTTAATTTTTGGGTATAAGAATGATTCCATATAAGAGGATTGTGTACGTTTTTTATTGCTTACTAAAATTAAAATATTTCTTTTTGGTTCTTGTGATTGAGGTTAAAAGTGGAAAGAAAATCATTTATTTAAATTGCTTTAGATTTTTATTTTTTGTTAACATTTGATTTTGTTTTATTTTATGATAAGGATGAAAAGTAATCTTTGAATGTGAGTGGAAAGTATAGAAGCACTAGTAGTACCATGTTCACCATTCGCTTTTATGGTAAACGAGAGTACACAGCACCACCTAATTCTTCTATATATAGTGAGAAGTGAGGACATTGCATTAATAATATGTGGATCATTGTGGATCGTTAGATTGTGTTGAAATCAATCGTAGCCGTTTACACTTTGATGTATCGATTTACACATCATTGTAGATGAAAATGTGAACTTTGCAACTTTTAGTTTGACTTTAGAAGCTTGTATTAAACAACTGCAAGTACATTTAACAATACATATTCTTTGTATAAAAGTCTAAGATTTAGGTTTAGAAAATTTATGTGGCAAATGTGTTGGTTATAGTTGTGCAATAAAAACATGAGTTCAATGTAGTTATACAAAACTAAAATAGGTCACTGATCATATTTAATATTTAATATTTATAGCAACCTACTTTCATAAATGACGACATACTTTTATATAAGGGTGTCATAAAAAACCAAAACCGAATAACCAAACCGAACCAAATGATGTTTGGTTCATTTGGTTCGGGTTATTTGGTTTTCGGTTAATTTGCTTTGGTTAACCGAATAATGATACCTTATTCGGTTTGGTTTTTGGTTAAATTATGATTGTTTTGGTTAAACTGAAAAAACCGAATATATATATAACCAAAACCGAATAACCAAACCGAACCAAATGATGTTTGGTTCATTTGGTTCGGGTTATTTGGTTTTCGGTTAATTTGCTTTGGTTAACCGAATAATGATACCTTATTCGGTTTGGTTTTTGGTTAAATTATGATTGTTTTGGTTAAACTGAAAAAACCAAATATATATATATATATATATATATATATATATATATATATATATATTATTAGTTACTAAGATTTCCATGACATTTTTAGTTATTAACGATTATAAAGTTATAATTGTTTTATATTTTGTATTAAAAAGCAAAAAAAAATTAACCAAATAACCTTTAATCGTTTCTTTCATTTTCATATACGATTAAAATTATATTAACCTATCTCTACAACTTAAATATAATACTTTATATATTAATGTAGTTTCATGTTTGGTAATAGTTTAGTAAGTTTTTTTTTTCTTTTAGTTTAATATTTATTTTTACGTGCTGAATTTTATCCGGTTTAACCGTTAAACCGAACCGCATAAACCATAACCGAATAAACCGAAACCGATTAAACCGAACCTTATTTGATTTGGTTATGGTTAGATTTAAAATGTAAAAAAACCGATAAAACCGAACCGTTTTAACCGAAAAACCAAACCGAATAACACCTCTACTTTTATATATGTAAGATTCTACATATATTCGCTGAATATCATTTTATTATTGAATAATAGTCATGAAGTTAAATTTGTATGCAAATAGATACATTTTATCCGACAGAATAGAACAGAATGGTAAAATGATTATTTTTATCATTTTGTACAGTTAGTCAGATATATAATCAAACAACATGATTTCAGTTAGAGATAGATGCAGTCAGAGCTTCTGATCAGTCTGACTCAATCTACATCTATGAAACAACCCCTAACTTAGTAAGTTATGATACCAAACCTAAATAACATCAAACCACCTAAAAAGAAAACTAGAAATCTTTATTCTTAAAAAGGGAAAGCCACCAAACACGTGATTAATACAACCTTAAGCTCTTAGCTCTCTCTTTCTCTTTAAAAATTGCCATCGATCACTAACGTACGTTAGTTGTATAGTTTTAAAAAAAATAGAAATCAAATATCATCATTCCTTTTGTTCCTATTTATCTTCATACTTATTTGATCATGGTAGAATCAAGATAGGAGTTTAAAAGAGAAAATTAGTGGATTTCACATGTCGTTATTTTATACGAGTAAGAAGATGAGTGGGAACAAAAGATAGGGAATATTTAATTATTAATTTTTTTTTGGTAAGAATAAGGCCTAATGAGCAGGGGTGGACCTAACGGTGGCACCGACAACTCTAACTTTTCCGGCCGCAGTGGAAAATTTTTCGAAAATTTTATTTTTTCTACTACCGTGCAACCCTAACTCTCCCGTACAACCCCTACTGTAAAATCGTGCGTCCGCTCCTACTAATGAGCACAATTTTTCATGCAAGAGTTAGTTAGTTTGAAATGCACAAACAACAGTTATGTGATTACTTGAAGTATCAGTGATCAATATTGATAAATTTATGTAAAAGGACGTTGTAAATGCTTGGAAGACAGTGAAATATTTGAAATAATGAATTATCTATCCCATATAAGTCAAAATGGGATATTGTGCAACTACGGGCATATTAGCGTTGATAGTTTGTGCCTTTTAGACTTTTAGTAGTGAATCAAGGAATAAGATATTGGGATTGGTTACACTTGGAAACATGTATGGCGAGAATTTTTTTTTGGAAACGGCAAATCTCCTATCCTAATAAATAAGAGCTTTCTTGCCACGTGGCAATTTCTAAGCCCCTAACAATCGATTTTTCCCGCTTTACTCTGTAAATGAAATACCAACACTGCCCTTGTCCTTAGCCCTTATCCTTACGTTACGATTACGATTACGATAAACTCCATTTTACCTCTGATACTTCTCCGATGTTTCTTCTTCTCAGGTATACTAGGGCTTATGTTGAATTGCGATTACTCCCTCATCAATGGTGAAGAGGATGCCCATATGCCCTCCGGCGCCACAATTTCTGTTCGTGTAAACATCGATATTCTTTGCGCAACTTTACTCATCTAGGTTAAGCTGTTACTCCCACATCTTGATTCGGCCAGACACACCAACGACAACGTTCTACCTCCGGCCACATGGTTCGATTTCTGATTTCAACTTCAATTTTTGACTTTGCATGTTGTTGGATATTTTGGGACCACTAATAAATGTATATAAATAATGTTATCATTAATTTTATATTATTATGGAAATTATATAAAATTGTTGATGGACCGATTTTATTAATAAATAAAGATATACACTTACCATGTTTATCTTGTGGGTTGAGTTCCCGGTTTGACTCAAGATCTCCTAAATCCCTAATATCTCTCACATTCGGTTATATCTCCATCTATATAAATACGTGATGAGAAGCAGATTTACAATATACGAAAATACATACAAGAAAATCGGTTTAGGGTTTGCTGTGGGATTTAGAGAGTGTTCTTGAGATCAACCGGAAAACTCTTCCTAGTCTCTAGATCAGAAAATCTCAATGGAACAAGGTATGTAATCATTCTTTCATGTTTAAGTTTTCTTTTAATCAGATTCGAGATTAAAGATCCAAGATTATGTTTCCGTTTTTATGTTTTTGGGTATTAAAATAACCAACAATTGGTATCAGAGCCAACTCGAATCTTTTATCAGAAACTTGGATTGGTTTTAGTTCTTTTGATTTTCGAACTAAAACATACCTTTAAGATATATGTTATTTTACTCTTCTCGATCCTGCCGACATTTTCTTTCTTAAAATCAGACGGCATGATATGATGATTTGTATGTATTTCTTTGTGTGTATATATCATGAACATTAGTGATTTAGCAATCATGGGATATAGCTTGACGTATTTTATGTTTTGGTTTTGGCAATATTAGCATGAAAGCTTTTCTTTTACTGTGTGTTCTCATAATATGATATATTATTATCACAATAAAATATAATAACACATGGTTTGGAAACAAATAAACTATAGTTTACTTAAGATTATTCATGTGTTGTATTTGTAATTATGATATTGGCAAAAGTTACGAAATCAGTAATTTTAGTACCATTAAATTTATGTGTGGAAAAGACTTTTATCATATTCGTTTTATCTCTTAAACAAATCTCTTGCTGTTTTGTAAAGATTGATTTTTTTTTTCTTTTTATTATTATGTGTTAAAAGCCTGGAAGAGATTTGAGAATTGATATATATATATATATATATATATATATATATATATATATATATATATATATTAAGTAGCTATATCTCATGCACTTAAACCCCATTTTTGGCGTTTTATGAGGCTTATTGGAGTAATTTCTCTATATGGTATTTTTTTTCTTAAAAATAACATTTGAAGAGATAAAATAATTTGTCTAAAGAGTTTTGGGGTGTTTAAAGAAATGGCTGGACCTGATCAATTTCTATCAGGTGATAGATTACTTTGGTAATAATATGTGAAAATTAATATACATTAAAATATATGGTTTCATAAAAGGAAACCATATATTTTTATGGAATACTTGAACCTTTTGGCTTATGAACATCATTTTTTTGTTAGTGATTGCAATAATATTGTTATCAAAGTAACCTCTATTATTTTAATCAATTTTGGTTATACGATATTGCTTATGTGAATTGTGTTCCATTTAAAGGTATACCTTATACACAATATCACACTTTGACAAATATTTCAGGTTATCAATAAACTAAAATTATGACATGTTTATTTATTTTCAGAGTAAATTGATTGACACAATATATCGCCAAAGTGATCTCTTTTGTGAAAATTAATTTACAAAGAACTTAAATTTTATGGTTTGTGTTTATTAATGCGGATATTAATCGACCCAAAGGTAAATTAATATTTGGCTGGATAAACACGTGTTTGATGATAAATATGCGACAATTTTTAGGTTACATGTCATTAATAAGTCAATCTAAAGAGGGGCTTATTAATTGACATGATATATTGTCAATTCTTATTATAAAAATTTATAGTTTATGTGTTTATTAATGCGGGTATTAGCCTACCCAAAGGTAGACTGATATTTGGCCGAATAAACATATATGTGGTGATAAACATGTGACGATTTTTTGGGTCCATGTGATTAATAAGTCAATCCAAATAGGCGCTTGTTAATTGACATGATTTATTGTCAATGTGTATCTCTAAAACAAGGATATCTCTTGCAAGTTAGTATTACTGTCCAAAGACTTGATATTAATGTTGTGTTGATAACTTGTAAAGATGTCATAAATTGAATTTATTGATTACGGTTTATGAATTAATGAGCATAAAAATAGATTTGCTCATGTTTGAATTATGTTATTATATCTGCTAACATTGAATACATTTATGATTCATGTAATCAATGAGATTAACTTTAAGGAATGGAATGAGGGCATCATGTTAGTTCTCAATCGCATGGATATTGACCTTGCATTTTGGATAGAGCAACATTCTTTGAGGGTGTTGAGTTTGGGGGAGAAACAAGGTTAAAACATTGTCCTTAAGAAGGAATCAATCTTGATTCCTATTATTGCTTTCGATAGTATGCAGATTATGAATTAGTGATCGACAATGTTATTCAATCTCCTATTCTGAATACACAAACTCAACAACCTCAACTTTGGATATCCTATGCGTGGTACCACATTTTTCATCAATTTATTATCTCTTTTGGTTTTGAGGTAAATACAGTAGATGGTTTTGTGTACCACAGATTAAGTGGGAGTAAATTTGTCTTTTTGGTTTTGGGCAAATATCTACGCAACCCAAGTTTGGATCATAAGAAAGCAACCAAATGGATTTCGAGATATCTATATATATAAAAAAGGCTATATGCTCAACTATAGGAAATCAGATATTTTGGAGATCATTTTTTTTTATTAAGAATCTGATTTATTAGATGCCAAAATGGTTTCCGATCCATATCGGGATACTTTTACATTTTAGCATGATGAGCCATTTCATGGAATAGACTTCGGTAGCTTCTTCCATAATGGCAACATAATTTGTAGCATGGAATATGGTTGCAGAAATTTATCACGAGGCTACACATTATTGGTATTGAAAGACCACTAAAGTTGTGATAATAAGTCAGCAATGTTATATTCCAACAACAGAAGTTCGATTAAGTCAAATCATATTGACATCAAGTTTTCTTCTGTTAACACAATAATGCAAAATGGAAATATATATATAGCACATATGAACAAACTTCATGAAAGCGGATCCGCTCATAAAGGGATTACCTCCCTAGGTCTTTCATGAGCATACTACACACGTTGGTGTGATATTTAGTTTTAGTGGGAGTTTTATGGTGCTATATGTTTTGTTTAAGAACAATTATGTTTTCTGTACAGAATTAAGAATTTGGTTAACTCCATTATTAGTAGCACTTATTTGAAGTTTGATCTCACTTCAATCTAAAGAGGAACTCGTTTGAAATCTATTTAGATTTTAAAACCACACATCATGTTTAATCTATGTCGTTAGTTATATATGTATATGTGACCATTGATGGGTTTAGCTGCGTAAATTGTAACGAAGACCGCTTTGATCCTATACTTGTATGATTAGTGGATAAGATTGCTTAAGGGTACCAATACTATGATAACATTCATTAAAGCGCTTATACATTTATATATACATTCATGCATTCGTGGTCCAGTGGGAGATTGTTGGATATTTTGGGACCACTAATAAATGTATATAAATAATGTTATCATTAATTTTATATTATTATGGAAATTATATAAAATTGTTGATGGACCGATTTTATTAATAAATAAAGATATACACTTACCATGTTTATCTTGTGGGTTGAGTTCCCGGTTTGACTCAAGATCTCCTAAATCCCTAATATCTCTCACATTCGGTTATATCTCCATCTATATAAATACGTGATGAGAAGCAGATTTACAATATACGAAAATACATACAAGAAAATCGGTTTAGGGTTTGCTGTGGGATTTAAAGAGTGTTCTTGAGATCAATCGGAAAACTCTTCCTAGTCTCTAGATCAGAAAATCTCAATGGAACAAGGTATGCAATCATTCTTTCATGTTTAAGTTTTCTTTTAATCAGATTCGAGATTAAAGATCCAAAATTATGCTTCTGCGTTTATGTTTTTGGGTATTAAAATAACCACCACATGTTCGATTTGTGAAACATCCTTCTGATCCCCAACAAGATAATCAAATCCCCAAATATCACTAAAACTAGGGTTTCGCGGTTCTGAATTAGATTTCAATGGGTTCTATTGTGAAATCAGAGGAGGAATGGCGTGCAGTTCTCTCCCCTGAACAGTTCCGCATCCTTCGCAACAAAGGAACTGAGTAAGTATACTACTTATCCATTGCATTCTTTCTATATTCGATGATTAGATTCCTAAACCGTAATAATGCTTTATCAATTTCTATATGAGAACTGATCATTTAAAGTTTTGCACTTAAATTTAACAAGAATTTGGTTGCGTTTTGGTAACATGTCTACACTCTACAGTTGACTTAACATTATTGCACTCTTAGCAAACGATTTTGATTGTATTTTTCGGCTGTGATTGGGAGAGCCCATCAACTTGACTCCAAATTCTAATTTGGGGCTTCTCTACTTCATAGACTCTACAATCTCCATAACCTTAGTTGCAATGCAACATATAATTTTGTATAATTTTTCCAATTGAATTTCTGAGAATTGATGGATTTGACTCCAAAATTCAATCTAGGGCTTCTCCATTGTTTATATTGATCAGCAGATTTGGAAATTAGAGATGTATTTACATCTTGGGAAAGAAAGACAAAATGTAAAAAGCATTATAATTTTCAAAATAACCGTAAAATAAAATTAGATATGTATCCACAACTTCGTGTTATGCAGAATACCAAGGTCTGTAATTTTATAAATATGTTATGAAACTTGTGTATGTGGGCCTGTTTGTTTTATATTTCCCATTAAGTGGTTCTTAACCTTAAACTTAAGTTAGTGATTACATTATATAACAAACATATCACAATTCATAACCCTAACATGTATAAATCTATCATGAAAGCCGTTAATCAGAAGTTTTGGTGAAGCTGTGATCTCATGTTTTGTTTTGTGTTGGGCTGTAGGAAGCTCCTGCCATTGTGAAATCTTACTATGACCAAAGAATTGTTGGTTGCCCTAGTGCAGAAGGGGGTGAGTCTTATTTTTTCTGTAGTTTTGGAGACTGTAGTGGTATCATTATCATATAATATCTCATTTTATGTAATTTTTCTATTAAAGAGGATGAGCATGATGTTGTTTGGTTTTGGCTAAAGAAAGGAGAAACAAATGAATGCCCAGTCTGCTCACAATATTTCAAGGTGAGTGCAAATTATTTCTTTATAAAAACCATGTGACATTTTATTAAATTGTTGCATATTTAATTATTCATACATTATAAATGTTTTTAGCAGTTGGAAGTAGTGGGCGCAGGAGGACTTCCAGATGGACTCTGACGAGGATGAACATCATCATCACTGATTGAATTTTCCACCTTTAAAAAATATGCCGGAATAAAAATCTGGTGAGATTACTGCAGCATCAGGATTTAACAGGTCCTGTCTTTTGTTTTGTTATGCTTGTTTCATATAATTTACTTTTCAATGTGTGGGTTTTTGGTCGAATCAGAGCGTGCATACGATTTGATTTTTCTTTGTGGATTTTGGGGCATGATTTCTTCATTGGAATTGTGAATGCCATTGCTTGAATGCATTGAAATAATTAATGGCTTAAAGATTTGGCTCTTAGAGATTCATCGATTTGTTTTGGGAGTATATATCTAATCTTTGGTTCATTTTTGTGTCGTGTCGATCTGTCTGCTTAAATAACTTCTTACTTGAACCTTTGTGTCAAGTTTATATTGGGTTAACGGGTTTAGACTTTGTAAGCCCAAAACTCAACTCAAAATTAGCTTGCAATGTTTTTACAACGACCCCAACTAGATGAAATAATTTAAATCTTTTTACTTTAAGATATTTAAAATAGTTTTATAAATATGTTATGAAACTTGTGTATGTGGACCCTGCTTGTTTTATATTTCCCATTAAGTGGTGCTTAAAAATATTAAATTATAAATCCATTGACTTTAATTTGTGTGTTTAGATTGTTGAACCAATCACAGCACATTATGTGTTTGCTTTAGGGGTTGCAAGGTTTCTATGTTGTGCACATTGGATTCTTCAGGTATATTAATTAATATCAATATATTATTATTTTTAAACTTCTCATGACACATAATACAATAACTGGGAACATTTCTGCATTGGTAAATGCATTATGCACCCAAAAAGAGTTTTCTGTGTGTTTATTTTCATGGAAGATGTGTTTTTTGTAACTTTAATAGATGCTTGGTATAATGGAATAAGAGGAAGGGATGGAATGGTTTATTCTACTAGAGTGAAAAAAAAGTCTTTTGTTTTTTCTGATGGAATAGAATTAAACATTCTTGAATGAAAAAATAGCTCTTTGTTTTGCCATCCACCTTTATTTATTTATTTTTTGATTTTGAATTTTGTTTATAAACAAAACAAACAGGCAGAAGTTGATAATATTATGATACTGAGTGAGGGGTAGTTGTTGTAAAGATGTGGAACTTTATAAAGAATAATACGGTGTCCTTAAATGAAGTACCCCTGGAAGCAGATGATGTTGTTCAGAATGTTCAAAAGGTATATTATATTCCCATATTAACTTTTATTTATATTTAATTATTCCAATTTACAACTTATGTTTTTTTAATTTAGGACGTGATATCAAAAACGGATGAGAGTTTTACTCCCTCAACAGTTGATAAATCATCTGTAACCAGTCCAATGAAAATATCAAGTGATTTGAAGCGCAACCTCCATGACATTTATGACGTTGATTGTGGAGGTGATTTGAGTTTAACAAAATCTAAAAGAAAATCAATAGGAGAGGGAAATCCACTTTTAGTTCCAAAAGTGGAAAAGTGAGTTGTTTTTGGTTTTAACAAACAAATAATATTTTTTGATATTGGTTTGGTTTTAAAAAAATGTTTGGTTATTTGGTACAATGATTGTTGGAAATGTAGGTTGTTATTGGACAAATTTTAAGACAATGGTTCATTTTAATTTCGATATTTTTTTGGGTTTTTTTGTAGTTACTTAAATGCTTTTGATTATGAAAATTAATAGTCATTTTTGTAATTGATTAGCCGGTTGTAGAATAATATATCTACAAATAATATAACAATAATTTCAGAAATATCATTTTTTTATACATATAAAAAATTTTGTAATTTTTCTGAAACCACAAGCAAAAACTTAAAAGGTCGATCGAAATTGTACATAAATGAATTTGAAATTTGATTAGATTTAGCTTTATCCATTTTATATTATCAATATTTTTTAAACAATAAAGAGCCAATTGCATCATATACAAAACAAACTTTATAAATAATACAATATAAGTTTTCTAACTATATTATATATTATATAATTAAATTTTAAATTCTATTTAACATTAACACCCGTAGGTTCCACGGGTTTTTACCTAGTATATATATAAACGTAAAGGCTTAGCAAGTAGCAAGTTCGAAGAGCAAAGATACAATAACAAATTACAAAATAAGATGATTAAAAGGGGAAACACTCCAATCAACCCACCTACCACAACATTATGAACTCCTATATTTGTACCAAATATATGTCTGTGAGATAACATTATCAGCAATCTTTAGAAGGAGATGTGCATAGATTTTTAAATACTTTATCATTTCTTGCTAACCACGTGTACCAAAGTAGAGAAAAGAAAATCAATTTGAGAATCAACATTTTCCGAGTGCAGTTACCCCAAGCATCCGCAAAATTTAAGAATTCAGAGGTTGATGAAAATTGTTTACTTGGAATTCCACACCATTTAAACACCCAATTCCGAGCTTCTTGCGCCATTTTACACCTGATTAAGCTTTGTTGGTCGTTGCATATAAAAAGGATCGAAATATTATACTGAAACAAAAATTAAGCTTTGTTGGTCGTTGCATATAAAAAGGAACGAAATATTATGGGGGTGTTTGGGATGCATTTTAGAATAATTTTTGGCTTTTAATTTTTCCACAGTGTCAAAAAAAAAAAACCAAAAGGTGTTTGGATAATTCAAAAGTTCTTTTGAAAATGACTTTTGACATAGAAGAAAATGAGGGGTTTTAAAAGTCACAAAAATGTGACTTTTTGTGACTTTTTGTTATTTTACATGTAAAAATTAAACCAAAAGTCATTTTTACTAATCCAAACACATTTTAAAGAACTTCTTTTGCAAAAAATCATTTTACAAAAAGTCTTTCTACAAAAAGGACTTTTGATGTTCAAAAGTAATCTCAAACACCCGTATATATTTGGTTCAAGCATTTTATGAACAACTAATGTGGATAACAAGTTAACACATAAGCATTATAATACATTTTTGTTTGGAGTTTGTCACAAACCCAAAGATGCTCTTAGACTACAAGTATGAGTAACATTCCTAGCACACTCTCACATCAATTAGTTATGTTGTCATGTTATTTTTTTTGTTGTTACATCGCTAGTATTTTTTTCTTAGAATTCATAAGGAGTGGTAGCAATCCTACCACATTTGAATTTTTTTCAAACATAAATAAGTATATTTTTTTATAAAACACAAACATTTAATAGTAAATAAAAAAAGTTCGCAATACATTAAAACTTAAAATACGACAATATAAATTAAAACATTAGTTGATACCTAAAAGTTAAAACACGACTCGGCTTAAAACATAATTTAAAACTAGATTTAATACGTAAGTCCTACTACTTATCCCAATTATTTTGTCTTGCGATTTTCGCACTTGCATTGTTAAAAATCCGACGATCCTTTTCGGACAACTTCGATCAACTTTTTAAGAAAAACTTTAATTCATTTCTCTTTCCTTTCCCACTTCTAAATATTTTTCAAGCTTACTGTCCAATCCTTTGATATCATCTCTTCAACTTCACTCAATAAACTTTGACCACCTTTTAGCTTTCTTTTAGCTTTATCTCGTACCATAGGAAGATCCGAAGCTTCATATGAATTTTCATTGTTGAGGTCAATCACGATATACGCATCAGAGGATTCACTATTGGTTGACACGAAAGTTCTGCTTCGTTTGGACATACCCGCAAAATCATCAACACTTTTTAGATTCAACCATTTTGATTTGTTCTTCATGACTCCCCAAAACACCTCATTTGCAAAAGCTTTTTCAAATTTTGCCTTATAAATTTGACGACATGTTGCTATTACATCCACCTTATTTGCACCGCTTTGCGGGTTATGGATCGCATTCATGTAGATGCTATTGAACTCCATTAAATTTTTGTTGGTGATCCTCCCTTTCAAGTACACTTGACTAGTAGTGTGGTACTTTATTCATTTCGATTCAAAAACTTTTCCAAACTATAAATTTAAGGTTTGTCGAATTTTGGCCGTCTCCCGTCGCTGGATCCTCCGATACATCTAACCATTCTTTCGCCAATGCCTTCTCTTCTTTATCCGTCTATCCTTGACATTTTGCCTTTGCTTTTTCTTTACTTTTTCCTTTGAGGTCAACTTCGGGCTCTTGAATGGGTCATTTATTGGAAGAATCGGTTGACTCATCGACTAGGCAGTGTGGTTCGGATTAAAAATTAGTTTAAGATTGGGGTTGAGAAAAGAATTGAGTTTCTTGAACCGACTAAAAAGGGATCAAGTTCGAGATTTGGATCGGGTATGGATGAGATTCGAAATTAGTTTTCGGTTGGTTTTGGTAAAATGGCATGAGTTGAGACTGAAATTGAGAAGAGTATGGATGGAGCATAGTATAATAATAGTAACTAGCAGGTGAATGAATGGGTTGATCTAGTGAATGTCGATAACAAGTTGGTGATTAAGGGTTTGATAATGAAAGTTTATTTTTTTTTTAATTTTTTTTTATTATTATTTTTTTTTTCACTAGGTGAAGACATTGTGTTTGGTGACTTGATAAGTTTTGAAAAAGAAAGAAGGATATTATGTGTGTAAAATGTTGAGATATGAGTGTTTATTTTTTATGGTTGGATTAAAATTTGAAATTTTGATTTTTTTGGGTAAAAAACGGCTACTTTCTTTATAAAAAATGAAAGATTTTGTTAAAAAAAAAGTCAAATGTGGTTTGAATTGTAGTGAAATATCAAATACCCAAGTACCGATCAAATCCTACCACTACTCTCTCTCTATCTCCTCTCGCTAAGCCGATGGCAAGCACCTTGGCACGCGCTAGGGACGGTGTGTAGCGAGGGTGGAGAGCCCTAGCGCCCCACTCTTAACGACAGACTCCATGTAGTCTTAAAAATAAAAATTTGTAACGTTAATAGCTAGGATACAAAAATGATAATCTAGAAAGGGATGTTACATTTATATTGGTATGTCTGCCAATGTCTTGGCCTCAACTCGTCATATGCAACCATCACTTTCGTTCTTTCGGTGTCTTAATGTTTTAATATAATAAAGAAATGAAATATTTCATATGTGGCTTTTGTCCAAGAAATCATACAATATACTTTCTTAAATATTTTAATCTAAAATCTTTTCATGGGATATGATCGTTCTTAGAAAGTAACTACGATTATATATATAGATATATATATATATATATATATATATATATATATAATATATATATATTATAGATATATATATATATATAGATATATCAAATGAGAACCCTCAAAGGTTAAGAACCGTAGAAACAACTTATTTTTAGTTTATTTTTATATATATATTTTTTATGTTTTTATAAATAACCAAAAATCAATAAGGGCATACTAGTCATTTTTGACTTTAACATAAAATATCTTACATCTAACTACAATCAAACACTTTCAAACTTATTGTTCAAGAAAACTCTCCCAGACCCTCTCAAACTCTCCCAAAAATGCAAAACCCAACACCACCTCAACCACCTACCTCTGTCACTTGTCGCCTACCGTCGCCGTCATCTACCGCCTTCTGTTGTCGGAATGTCAAGTAGCCAAGGTTTTCTCTTCAGATCCACCGTCCACCGCCACTGATATCAGATCTGGAGTGAAAAGCTCCATCGCCGAAGGCCACCACTGACAAAGCACTAGTTCGTCGCATCTATTCAGATGAGATCTGGTTGGATTTTCACCAAAAACCTTCAGATCTGTCGTTAACGACTACCGCCGCTACATCCTTCGTCATCCTCCGCCTCCACTCCACCAGATTTACAACCACCTCCAACTCGTTTTCTCTCTGGTCTCCGGAGAACCACCAGATCTCCATCAGATCTCATTAGATCTGATGTGTTTTATTTCATTTTCAGATTAGATCTAACTAACCACCACCGATGAACCATCCTTTCTTTCTTATACGATCAGCGCACCAGATCTCAAGATTGACGAAGTTCCGAACAAAAGATCTACTACCTAACACCAGATGCATTAGATCTGATGTGTACGATGCATTTCATGTATGGATCTGGTGTATCTGGTGCATTTCGTGTTAGCTTGCATCAGATCTGATTTTTGAAAATGAATATTGGATCAAAAGCAGGTATGTCGATTTTTATAGATAAATCTTCTTTAAGTTTAATTTTTCTACTTGTTTTTCTACTTACATCTGATGTAATTTTTTTATTGTTTTTCTTTTTGTTAAAGTGTGAATTTGATGTTTTAATCTCTCATTTGTCGTATAATTTTGTTAATGTTACTTTTAACTACTATTAAGTTGTGAATGTATAAATTTTTTTGAATTAAGCTTTGAATTTACTGTACTAGTCTATGAATTTTTTGTATTAAATTATGTATCTATTAAGAGTTGTAAGTTGATTGTAACATCCGGATTCCCAGGTATCCTATTTTAAGTATTTTATATTGAGTTTTAGAGGGGGGACTCGGTGAGTAGGCGCCCAGACTCGCCGAGTTGGATCGCGATGTGTTGGCCTGATTTAATGAAGGACTCGGCGAGTCCATTCGTGGACTCGGCGAGTCCACGCTGTTTAATGAAACCCTAATTCCTCGGGTTTGGGACCTATTTAAGGACCCTTATAGTCACCATTTGCGGCTACCAGACCCTTGAGAGAAACCCTAATAGTGCTTGAGCGTTTGAGAGAGAGAAGAAGCCATTATTGGACCTTTGTGGGTTGGTTTTGCTAGAAGAAGTTGATTCCAGCTTAAAGGAGGCCAAGGAGGTTGCACATCTGTGGTTTTCAAGCAAAGGGCATCATCTTTGAGGTAGCATATCGATCCTCTTTCTGTTTTGTTAAAGAATCCATGGATTTAAGGTTTTCTATACCCTTTATTGGGATGATTTGTTGGAGATATGGTCCCTTATCATGTTTAGGCTTCAGATCTGGACCCATAGTGATCCAGAGAACCTTATCCATCTTGCTTTATGATGAGATATGAAAGAAATGGACTTAGGATGTTGTATTTGGGGCTAAATAATCAAGTAGAGTCATTTGGGCGTTGCATGAGTATCAAGTTCGAACCTTTACGTGTTTATTGAGCTTGGGAAGGTTAGATCTATGGATTAGAGGAACAGATATGACCTCAGAAGGTCATTTAAGTGTGAGCATGGAATGAACTCGCCGAGTCCATGAGCAGACTCGACGAGTCGAGTCGGGTTGCCCCGCGACTCGCGACCTGTGACGACCCGTGGAGTATAAGGTTGACTCAGCGAGTCAAGGGAGGACCAGGGGCGTAGAGGGCAGGCGTGTAATCGCCGAGTCACCCTAGTGCACTCGGCGAGTCGGGTCAAAGTTGACCGTTGACTTTCGTTGACCTTAGGGTTCTGGTCAAGGCTGATTCAGGAGAGTTCATGGAAGGGTAGAATGGCCTTCTACCCAGTCTGTAGAGATGAGATCATGAGAGAGTATTGATCGGGAATGTTATTTGAATAATAGGAGGAGGCTAAGTCGGGACGTTGAGCACGAGAGGTTATCCGACTTCATTGAGGTGAGTCTTCTCACTATACTGTACCTGGAAGGGTAACTATGTGTGATCGGAAGGTCTTGTATGCTATGATGTATGTGCTATATGCGGTTATGTGATATGTATGTGTTATGTATGCTATGAATGATACGGACCGGAAGGTCACGATGATATGTATGTATGTGCTATGTATGTTACGTATGGTAAGGACCGGAAGGTCGAGATGATATGGGCCGGAAGGTCAAGAGGGTACGGACCGGAAGGTCTACCCGAATTTGGGACGGAAGTCCCCTGAGACACATGGATCGGAAGATCCTACAGAGTTGTGGCCTGGAAAGGCGTATGTGGGCTATGTGGTATTTTGGGGAACTCACTAAGCATTTTTGCTTACAGTTGTTGTGTGATGTGTTTCAGGTACTAGCGAGGATCGCGGGAAGGCGCCGACATGATCCGTACACACTTATGGAGTTTATGATATCGAGATCTTGGGACATGTTTTGTTGATACAGTGGATACATTATGTTTTTATAATTATCGTGTGAATGAATGTATGTTTTTAAATGAAAAATTGTTTTGAAAAATTACGTTGTTACAAGTTGGTATCAGAGCCTTGGTTTGAGGGATTCGGGTGCATCTTCGGATGAATCTGAACTCAAACTGAGGAATTGAGGAAGTTTTTCATAAAATAAACAATTTTTCTAAAAGAGTAAAAGATTTTGAGAAAGGCAGAAGGAAGCAGTGTGTACGATCAGCCAGCGCCCGAATGGTGATTTCCCAAAATACCCTTACATTATGTGTTATGAGACATGTTATGATGATATGCATGCTAGAGAATTTGGCTAGGTATTCATATTAGGACTAGAGTGGCCTGATTTGTGATGCCTTAGCCTAGGAAGGATTTTGCTGCTATGTGATGCTTGAGAGCGAGTAGGTAGCAGTGAGGGCTGATGAGAGGTCTACCGAAGGGTAGCCTATGCCAGTGAGAGATGAGTAACTTGTGATTTGGATCCAAGGAGGGGACTTAGGGTGAATACTGATGCGGTGTGGACGGTAGTATAGGGCCCGTACTACTGAAGACACCGGAGCAGTGCGCACTCTAAGTAAGAATCCATTGGGTACCAAGGAACAAGTAGGGTTGAGTTATCGAGTGCGAGTATGCTCAGCGAGTCTCTGATATCTTATGTTGTATTCAGAGACATCATGGTTGGGACACGCCACAGACCTGAGTCGAGCGGCGTGAGTGACGAGGAGCTTCGTCAGATGATCCACGATGAGGTGGCGCGGCGATCAGGGCCGAGATTCCGGAGATGTTTGGGTCTATCAAGACCACACTGATTGAGACTTTCGATGAGCGGTCGCGCGGTGACTGAGGCTGCTGCTGCTGCAGCTACTGCAGCTGTGGCTGCTGCCAAACCTCAGGGAGGTGACTCGTTGTTGCTTCGAGAGTTCAGCAACACGAAGCCACCAGAGTTTGATGGGACGCAGGATCCGATCGCTGCGATGAGATGGATTGCTGATATCGAGGGATGCTTCTACACGTGTTCATGTCCGGAGCATCTGAGGGTACGGTTCGCATTGAACCAGCTTCGCTTGGGAGCGAAGGATTGGTGGAGTTCGTGACGGCGAGCTTCACTCTTGCAGAGATTTCATGGTGACCTGGGAGAGGTTCACCACCATGTTCAGAGACGAGTATGTTCCCCCGGTGGAGAGGGAACGGTTGGTACAGGAGTTCTTGACCCCAAACAGGGTACTGATTCGGTTATTGTGGTTACGAGGAAGTTTCATGAGAGGGCGGTGTTCTGCCCTGAGCAGGTGTCTACTGAGCAGGCACGTATGAGCCGGTATTTGGGCGTTTTGAGGAGGGATATACGGGAGTTCGTGTCGAACTTGACTTACCGGACATTTGCTGAGCTTTAGGCAAATACCCGGAAAAGGGAGATTGAGTTGGAGACTCAGGCTAGGGAGGAGGCCGAGTCTCAGAGGATCGATCGGCGGCCGGCACAGTCTCACACCGGCAGCCAAGCGGGCCAAGTCCGCTGATACGAGATCTGGAGGCCAGAAGGGCCGCACTTGCGGAAAGTGCGGCAAGGGACATGATGGGGTCTGTCGATCGGGGTGCTTGCTACAAATGTGGCAAGGAGGGGCATATCGCCAAGGATTGCCCCAAGGGATTTATGGTTTGCTTTCATTGCAACCAGACTGGCCATCGGAAGGCCGGTGCCCGCGGTTACATCAGGGATCAGCACAGGGATCTGCCCCTGCTGCTAGGGTTACGAGGTTCGGCAGTGAAGGCCGAGGCACCGAAGGCTCGTGGGAGAGCTTTCCAGTTGACAGCGGAGGAGGTCCGCGCAGCGCCCTATGTTGTGGCTGGTATGTATTCCTTATTTATTTATGTTACTTGAGATATTGTGCTTATATGATGATATGTGTAGGTACTTTTCTTGTGAGTGTTTGTACCTGCCTTAGTGTTATTTGACTCGGGTGCGAGTCGAACGTTTTGTCGATAGCGTTTAGGTCGGCACATCAGTAGCAGGCGAGAGGCGTTGAGTCGACCTCTGCGAGTTTTCCATAGCTGACGAGCGAGCGGTGTATGCTACGGAGGTGATACGAGGATGTGTACTCGAGATCTTCGGTGTTGAGTTCCCGATAGATCTGGTCCCGATAGCGATGGGGGACGTGTGTGTCATAGTGGGCATGGATTGGTTGAGCCGATTTGGGGCTGTGATAGACTGCGAGCGACAGTTGGGTGACGATACGAGACCCTAGTGGGGAGTACTTACGGTGTACGACGAGGTACCCGATGTGGGTCAGCGTTCTGTTCGGCTGCCAGAGCGAGACAGAGTTTACAAGCAAGGGCTACTCGGGTTTGTAGCCTATGTGATGACACACGAGAGGCCGCTGGGAGGCCGAGTTCGGTGGATGACGTTCCGATAGTGCGCGAATTCCCGGATGTTTTTTCCCGAGGAGTTGCCGGGTGTGCCTCCTGAGAGGCAGGTAGAGTTCCGCAATGATTTGGTTCCGGGGGCAGCGCCTATCGCCAAGGCCCTATCGCCTTGCGCCGCCAGAGATGCAGGAGTTATCCTCGCAGCTTCAGGAGCTGCTGGGGAAGGGGTTTATTCGACCGAGTAGCTCGCCATGGGGAGCGCCGATCCTTTTTGTCAGGAA